TTGGGCTTGGACTTTTTTGTGACGTTTTTTGTTAGTACATGTATTGTATTCCACAGTGTTTCATTCTAGAGTCTCAGCTACACCTGATGCTAACTTAAAGGGCAATTTTAACAATGCGTTCGACTCCTAGTCTGCGTTTTGGTGTTTGATTCATTCGTTCAAACACTTCTATTAATTTATAATCTTCTGCTTTCGCTGTTGGATATTTTGACAATATACCTATTGCTACTAGATTATTTGCATTTTGGTCCGAATCATCAGGTAGCGGCCAGGCAAAATCTACTTGAAGCTTTTTATTAGGCTTGTTAGGGATTTCTCACGTATTGGTTATAAGTTTTTTTTCTAGTGCAATGACAACAATTCTGAGCCATCCATACTATCGACCGATGAATGAAGGAAACTAGAAGTGTCCGCATAAGTCAAGCATTGCGGTCGATTACGGATGCGTCAACTAAAAGATGTCGAGCATCATCTCATGCAGTTGTGTGGGCAGTACTGCTCTCTCGTCAATCAGAAAGCAGTCATCCCTCCAGAACAGTCGATTTGGTATGTTGTATCAATATACTCCATATGAGTATTTGAGTGCCTCACAGTTTCTGTTGCGGACGAAATTCACTGATTTTTTTTCATAATTCGCTGTGTTCGGGTTGCGATTGTTATGAAGCTCAAGCCCAATCTTTTTTTGAAAATTGTTTAGTGCGGCGTAATTTCTTCAATTTCTATTTCAAAGAATTTTTCCACTGTAGCAAATATGTTTGCTTTATTCATCTCACAGCTGAGTTCAAAATGGTGTGATTGTGTCACGTTTGTCGGTCTCAATGTTCGTAGTTTTTCGTTTGGCCGTGCTTCTTCAGTTCTTTTTTGTGCTGGATCTACTCTCCTTTCACAATATTCATATAGTTCAATCATCTCAATTGTCAATTCTGTTTGGGTTTCTATTTCCTGGACCATATCGGCTAATGCTTGAGTCGCTGATTTGTGATTTTTGTCAGGTAGCTTTGTTTGAATTGACTGTGCCGTGTTCTGAGTAAACATTCGAAGTGTTTGTTTGTTTGTTTGTGTTGTTTTGAATAATTGTCTTGCATCTTGGATTTCCGTTTTGATTGTCTTGCTCGATTGTTGTTGCTCTTTTGTAATGGTCTCTGCGTTCGATGAGGGAGATCTTCCAAACTTTTTTGTGGTGGTGTTGAGTCTGCGCCAACTGGGCACGTACAAGCTGTTCTCTCTGTCCGATTCGCCTGCCATCTGTTTTCCCTAGTGTCCTTTTCCGGTTTTTCGTTGTAATTACCCTTCTTGTCCTCGCGCTATTGGGTATCAACCCTTTGCAGTCGACCGGCTTAATTGGTTCAAATTGAACGGAATGTTGGTAACTTGATTAGTTTTTCAATTGCCTTCTCATTGTTCGGTCTTTTCCTTGCGCGTTTTATCAGTTGATTTGGTGGGCAATTCTGATTGACTAAGTTATTTAGGACTATGTTGCAAATCATTTTAACTGTCCTAGGGCTGCTCCAAGTCTGGATGTTGATGGTTTGCGGATCACGCTGGTCCCAAGTATCGGTCAAAATGTTTGTCCTCTGTTTTTTTTTTCAGATATGGTTTTTATTATGAATTTGAATGCAGTTGCTTACTCTGTTTTCCAAGCTGATGATTTGATGTTTTCTGTGTTTTCAGACGAGACTTTAGTGATGCGGCTGTTTGGGCTAAGTAAGCTACGTAACGTGTAAGGTGACGTTTTGAGTCCATGAAACTTTTCAGTTGCTTAAACATTTTAGGTGGTGTTAGATTTTCTATTGCCTCTGTTTATATAATCAGTGGTCTTTTGCTTTCGAGTTTTATGTTATGTTCCAGCCACCCTGCTTGTTTACATGCAAATTTTTATTTTTCTTGTGATTTTGTTGCGTATCTTCGTCTAATTGCTGTAAAATTATTCTTGGTGTTTCCTTGTGATCATAATTTCTACTATTCGTTACTATCAAGATGTCGTCTAAATATGCTTGAAGTTTTGCTGTTTCTTAGTTTTGGATCTGTTGGTTTTGTTTTTAAAGTTCCACTGGGATATCCCTGTAGCTGTATAATCCCTTCTGAAAATGGTACGTGCCAGTAGCCTTGTCTACGATAAGGCTGAAAATGCACTAAATTCTTGTTTTCTGATCCAGCGGAATTTGCGAACTTGCGTAACGAAAATCAATGTCGTTTCTCTTAATGATTTGTATGATTTTTTTCAATATTAACTCGATGTTTTTTTGCCGTAGTCAAGATTGGGCTTAAGAATTTTATCTGAGCCCTTATCCAATGCAATAATCCAACAGGAAATTAGTTTAAGAGCAAATGACATTGTTGATTTGACAGCTTTGTTGATGCGCTGATAAATCATTCTGTCTGTCTCTGTCTAATTTTGAGTTCAAACGTTCTTAAAAGACATCTGATTTCTTTAATCAGCTTTGCGTTTTTGTTTCCTAATGGTTTTAATGGGTAGCAAATGACAATACAAACAGGATGTTTTGCCGGTTTTTGAGTTATTTTATAAATGAATTTTCCTTTCTTTTTAAAACTATTCAGTGAACTATTTTAAAAATAGCTTGTCAACTACTATTTGATAATAGAAAAAAATAAATGTTAAATTTGGTTACAAAACTTAGCTTTTTAATGTTTTTTTTTGCAATTTATTAATTATATTCGGAATATTTGAAGTTCTGCCTGCACTGCTGCTGCGGGCACTCCCTTTGTTTTTTTCTCAGTTAGTTTCCTTAGCAATTTCTTTTGAAAAAAAAATTTTTTTCACACAAATTTTGTACCTAGAAGTTGTCGAATCAGTCCGTTTGAATCAATCACTATATAAAATTTAATTATCAAACTTACAGTTTTTTGGACTTTTTTTTCAGATGGATTCAGGTTTTTTAATACAATTAAATTTCAGTTTTGCTTAGCCTCTGTGTTCAGAAAATCAAAATCATATAATTCGTTTTTGTACTTGAAATGAATTAGAGCATCTCAAAATTTCAGCTTGAGTTTATCGGCCAAGGACTGCGCAGCTTTTTTTCATTGAAACCCTTCGGTGATAATATGCTTTTCTCGATGATGTTTCCGGTTCGGTCTATGTAATTTTAGGACCAATTAAACAATTTCCACCAAAACATAAATAAATTTTCCCTTTTCTTCGAAAGTCGAAACAATATATTATCGATTATTTTTGAAAGAAGTTGAAACTTGTTTTCGAGGCAAATTAACCCATTTTTAATAGATAATAATTGCGCATTTCTTGGACCAACTTTCAACTGTTTTACCAATGTCATTGTGTTAATTTATTCGAAATAACTTCTCTTTAACTTAATATTAATTTTAAAAAAATCACATTTGTTTTTTTTTTGAAATTTTTGATCAAATGTTCTTGAAATTGTGCGACATGCCCTAAATTGTGCGAAATGCCTTAAACATGACACAAATTATATTTGGATTTTCATAATATACGACCAATTAGAGGACCCTGTACCGTATCCTGGGTTAAATTTAAATAGATTAATTTCCGCCTACTTAATTAGTTTACTGCCACCTACTCCGACCTGGTCTCCGTATCGGAATTATTTATTTGAACTTATTAGTCGGGGCTGGCAGCTATTGTGATGAATGGTTTTCGCAAACAAAGAAGACTTGTTAAAGTCATAAGATTTGAATTCTGCTTTACTGGGGGGATTGAATTATGCATCCTGTAAAACGTGTGAAAAGTCTTTTTTGTTTGTTAAAACCATTTACCATTTTTTCTGCCCATCCCGACCAAGATGTTTTCAGCTGCATATCAATTTGCAGAGCTGAAGTTTTTGAATTTTCCGCGACGTGAAAAAGTTTTTGGAACCTAGGTTTCCGCTTCAATTTTTTTTAATCTTGTGAAAATTTTTGAAAATTCATCCTCCCACAAGATTGGATCGCGCCCCTCACCTCACGAGTAACGGCAAGATTGGTTTGCGCCCCCCCACGAGTAACGCTAAGCTTGGTTCGCTCTCCCATCCCACGCCAGTATAGTCTAGACTGGAGGGGGCTACAATTTTTTCTCTTTTATTTTCTTGTTATAAATTAAGTTTCCCATTTCAATATTTCCAGACACTACTACTATTACCATTTTCTGATTGTTTTTTGTTCGTTGTTAACATAAAATAGTTAATTAAAATTAACACGTGACCTAAGTGGGAGCCGAGTAGGAGAGGTCGTGAGCTCAGTGGGCGTCGGGTAAGAGAGGCAGTGACCTCAGTTGGGGTCGGGTAAGAGAGGCAGTGACCTCAGTGGGTATCGGGTAAGAGAGACAGCTCTAATTCATAATTATTTATCTCTCCATCCACCTGCCTCTTCTGGTTACTTAGCAGTTTTTAGACAACCGCGTATTCATACTCGTCAATATGCTGACAAATGCTGTATTAACCAGTGAGAATCGACACAAGGAAGAAATTAAAAAATACTAGTTATTTTTTTGCAGACAAATGCTGTTTTAACCAGTCAGAATCGAGACAAGGAAGAAAATAAAAAATAATAGTTATTTATTTCGTAAGTTTGCTTTCTAATCTCGATTCTGATTGGTTGATATAGTATTTGTCGGCTTACTGGCAAGTATGTGTACGCGATTGTCAAAATACAGACCGCACTCCGCCTCTTCTCTCGATGTTTTTGCAATTTACTTTTCCGGCCTTGTTCTGTTAACACTGTCGCCAACGCAGTGCTCGCTCAAACTAGGGTTGCGCCCTCGCTACTGTCTGGGTTGGGAGGAACCCAATGCTACGCAAGAGCAAAGATGATAAAACTAAATTCTATACAATCTGGTAATTTTCTTGCATCGGACAAAAATTACCGGTAGCAAAAATTGAGCAAGTTGTTTCAAACTGAGCTTTGAAAAATGATGGGTGCAATATTTTGTGTAACGTTCAAATAACGTCATGGGCTGTGATGCAGTAAAAAAAAAACGTGATTTGAGCGCACCTTTCTGATTTAAATCAGTATAATGAAGATTTCTTTACCTGAAAGAGTAGCAACAAAGATTATCAGTATCAAAACTTGCCCAAGAAACTTCATTTTCTAACGAGTAAGTGAGTGGTTTGACGAAATCTGAGTTTCAAAAGCTGTTTATCTTAAATCGCTAAATATACTAATCCTACCGTCATATGCCATGTCTGTCATATAGCAAACATTAAGTTTTCAGAAGGTCACAAACTTTGTTGAAACTTCTTCAAAACATGAGTTGTTCAATTGTTTTGTGAGTTACACGATTAATTGATCAAAAATTTTGAGAAAAGTGCCCTTTAATGTAATTTTAGTAGTATTAAAATCACTTGTACAATTTGAAAAACAATATTTTTTAATGAATGTTTAAAATTGACTTCCTTCAAAATAAAATCAGGCGTCGGATATTCAATTATGCACAAATTACACTAAATTTGTCAAAAATTGACTAATTACTATATTTGATCCATGGGACGTAACTAAATTAAATAGAAACCTATTCAAGTTTTAGTTAATATTTTTATTGAGTCAGAGCACCCAGAAGCCAGATGTTTTTTTATTTAACCAACCAACCTCCCTGCAAAAAGGATTGAAAAATACATAGACACATAGCAATTATTGTTCTGATTTCACAGAAAGTCATTAGGTAACAGTTTTGCCCGGTGTGGGTATTTTTTCTTTGAACGAAATTCAATTTTCAACTAGCAACTTTCGACGAGTTTAATTCATTTCAAGGCACTGAGCTCAAAATTAAAAAAAAGTAAGTTCGTCGTCGACCGTATTCAAAAATATGGGGGTTTGAGTCATGACAATGGCAATACGTTTTGGTTGATTAAGATTCCAATTTCAGATCGTAGTTTAGTTGTTTCTTTTTTAAATGATTTCTTTTTGATTTTTGAGTTTTGAGTCTTTCAGTTTACTAATTTGGCGGCATATTCATGTCAAAAATGTGGCAAAATTAGGTTCGGCAAAGAATAAAGTTCAAATGTCGTAGATTGCAAATTAGAAAATTGTTCGTTGAAGCTGATGGTACGTCGTCGTTGATTGTAATGGTCATCTAGTTGTTAGCTGTCGTTGATCATGTTGGTCATCTAGTTGTTACTGTGGTCCAATACTCGCGAGAGTTTGACTGCTGGTCGGTGTAGAATCCCCCTGCTAGTTTTAATTTCGCAGGAGCGAACGATTACGTCTGCACATGGGAAAGTACGAAGTACCCGTCCCAGGGGCCAAAGACCTCGAGGCGTTAGGTCTTCCAGTATCCAAAAAAGGTCTCCTTGCTGAAGATTTTCCACTTGCTTTGTCCATTTCGTTCGGGTCGTCAAGGTTGGCAAGTAGTCTTTGAGGTATCTGTTCCAGCGGACGAGAATTCATCATAGCTTCAACCTCGCACGTGAAGGTTGACAGAGTTTCGTCGTCCAGTGTCCGTGTTCCAATGACTTTGTAGAAGGCAATCTTAAATGTTTTTATGAGGCGTTCCCATGATCCACCAAAGTGAGGAGCTGCAGGTTATTCCAAGTATTTGGCATTGATTGTTGAAGTCGTTGCTGTGTTGAATCTCAGAAAAGCTTTCCTGTAATTCGTTGTCAGCTGCAACGAAGGCTTTTCCGTTGTCAGAGAAGATGATCCTGGGTTTACCGCATCTAGCGATGAAACGGCGTATGGCTTGTAGAGTTGAGTTTGTGTCGATTTGCTGGCATATTTCTGAATGAACTGCTTGCGTGACGAGGCAGGTGAAGAAGAGAACGTATCGCTTACTGTACTCGTCGTTGTTCCGCGTGGCAAAGGGTCCAAAGAAGTCAATTCCTGTTGAGTAGAAGGTGTAACTGTTTTCCGATTAAGGGAGTCGTTGTAGGGGTAAATCTGCCATCAGAGGCTTCACTGGTTCCTGTCGAAGGCGTCGGCAAGGTATGCATTGTCGAATAGTTTTCTTCAGATGCTTGCGTGATCTTATGATCCAAAAGTCCTGCTGAAGAATGCTTCGGGTGTGTTCCATTCCACAATGGGAATTTATTTCGTGTGTTTGCTTCATGAAGAGTTGTATTGGGTAGTTTTCTGCGTTCAGAATGACTGGATGTCGGCTGCAAAGTAGAAGCGGGGCTTTCTGTAGTCGTCCTTTGGCACGTAAGTATCCGTGATCGTCGATGAAGGGGCAAAGAGGTTGTAGAGGGCTGCGGGGTGGAATGTCAGTTTTCTTTGTCAGGCATGCTATTTCTTTGGGGAATGATTGATTCTGTGAGTGTTTAAGGATCCATGCGAATCCTAAGGTGAGGTGTTGAAGTGAGAGGCTCTGGCGTGTCTTCCTTTTGATGTTTTCTGCGAAGAGAAGAACATATGAAGTAACTCTGAGTGCTCTTGTCCAAGTGCTAAATCGGTTGAAGTCGGTTACTGATGTTGGCGGTTGTGGGTTGTTGTCTGTCAGATGAATATCAGCTGTAGGTTGTGTTGGCGGGTGATTAGGCTAATCTGATGATGGTCTTAACAAGAAGTCTGGTCCTTTGATCCATCGTGAATCGGTAGTCATGTCACATGCTTTGTAACCACGTGTTCCGTCGTCTGCAGGGTTGTCTTTGCTGGGCACGTATCTCCAGTCCAGTGAAGATGTTGAGTCCATGATGAAATTCAGGTGGTTGGCAATCAAGATCCGGTTTCGTTGATTCGGCGAGTTTATCCAATGAAGTGCTGTTGTACTATCTGTCCATAGTGTCGTACTGTCGATTCGTATGTCATGTTGTTCTTTGATGGAACGAGACAGTTTAGCTCCGTTAGTGGCGGCTTGAAGCTCGAGATTTGGAATTGTCATTCTGCTGATGGGTGCTACTCGGGCTTTTCCGATGACGAACTTGAGTTCCGTTGTGTCGTCATCGTATCTGATTCTGAGGTAAGCAACTGATGCTAAGGCAAGTTCGGAGGCGTCGCTGAATACATGGAGTTGGGTTTCCAGTATCTTCGTTTCTGGTTTGAAGTAAATCCGGGGCAGGCAGATGTCGTTGAATTGGCTTCGCTTGTCTATCCAATCGTTGAGGTCTGTTAAATGCCCAATGTTTAGAGGTTTGTCCCATTGAGGTCCAGGCAAGTTGAAGTGATTGTCGTAGTCGAATTGTCAGTGGCATCGTAATTCCAAGCGGGTCAAAGATTGAAGAAGCAAACTTCAATAGTTTGCGCTGCGTTAAGTCCTTCTTGTCAATGGCGTGAAACTTCTTTGCTTCCACAAGAAAGACGTCCGTGTCTGGTTTCCATTTCACTCCAAGAACTCTTTCGAGGGGTCATTCCTTCTTGGTGAGGCTGTCGCTGTTTTCCAAGTGGTTCTCGTTGACTGTTGTGAGGAATTGTTGAGAGTTTGAGGTCCATTTTGTGAGGTTGAAACCTCCAAGGCTGAACATCTTTTGAAGGTCGTTCATTAACTGTGTCGCTTCCGTCGGTGTTGAAACGGCTTTGTATAGGTCGTCCATGTATATTTTCTCCAAGGCTGGATATTTGTCGGCATTGTCCTTCGCACATTGTCAAGTGGCGTAGCAGGCAACACATGGTGAGTCGGTAGCTCCGAAGATGTGGCGGGTGTATTGGAAGGTTGCGGATTGGCCCGTGTTGTCCTTCCACAGAAATTGCAAATACGGCTGGTCCTCTGGGCTCACGAAGACCTGCATGAACATTGCTTCAATGTCGGCAGAAATAGCGATTTGGTCCTCGCGAAATCGCATAACGATTCCAGTAAGGTTTGTGAGGAGCTCTGGTCCAGTTAGTAGGTTGCTGTTGAGTGATACTCCTTTGTAGATGCTCGATGCATTAAGGACTCGGAGTACCTTGCCAGGTTTATTGATGTATTGATGTTTGTCACTGGATGATGAGGAAGGTACCATTTTCCTGTTGAGTTTTCATGGGAATCATCAACTTTGACTATGAAACCTTTCTGCAAGTCGGTGTCGATGGTCTCCTGATATTTCTGTGCCATCTCGGTGTTTCTCTTCAGTCGTTGGAGAAGGCTGTCGAGCTGCTTCTTGGCAAGCCATCTATTGTTTGGCAGTTGTTGTCCACGTTTCCAAAGCATTCCAACTTGGTAGTGTCCATTGGGCAAGCGGGTTGTTGAAGATTCCAAGATGCGGAGAGCTTCCTTGTCGTTTGTTGAGAGGCTGCGTTGGTCAGTTGAAATCCCTTCGGCGTCCATTTTCATCCATGTAGCTACGTGGCGAAACAATGTATCGTCTGTCGTGAAGTTGATTTTGTTGATGTCGCTGGGTGTCGTTGCATTGTCGCGTCCACAGAGAGACCATCCAAGTGGCGTTTTCCATCCAATAGGCACATTTTGTTTTGAATGGATTACTTCTGAAGGTGTCACGAGTTCAGCGAAATCGCGTCCAATGATGGTTCCGATTTCTTTCGAGGGCAGTGTAGCTATCCGAATGTGTTGAAGTGGCTCGTTCCTTTGGCTGATGGAGTTGACGAGTTCAGGGTTGAATTGGGAAAGGTTCCAATCCATTATGACGTCGATGTCATTTAGTTGAAATGGCTGCTTTTGCTGGTTTAGGGTCCAATCGCGATCGTCATCTTTGTAGAAGCTGTGTCTGATGATGTCAGTGCTTGGTTTAGCTGGATGGTGTCGTCTAATTGCAGATCTGGTTTGAGTTGGAGGGCGATTGATGATTTAAGCAATGTCAGTTTGCTGCCACAATCAAGCATTGCATAGGCATGAAATCTATGTTTGCCATGAGAGATCGTTATTGGCAGGGTCGGAATGTGGCGAGTCGAGTTCCTTCTGCTTATGCTGGTGCTGCAGTTGGTGATGTCGTCATGTTGTCTGGAGTTCCGGTTAGCTGTATCCCTCTGTGTCGTCGAGTTGTAGGTGCTGCTGTTGTTGTGGTTGCTGGGTTGTGCTGCAGGTTTGCGTTGATTGACAGTCGGCGAACTTGTGGGGGCTGAAGCAGTTGAAACATAGTTGCAGGTCCCTGGCATGCTGTAATCTGTCCTTTGGGTTCATTGCGATGAAGTGTTGGCATTTTCCAAGGTACTGGCAATTGCGTTTCTCCGGGCAAAAGTCTCGTCGTTGATCCTTTTGTCCAGATTTATGTTGCTGCTGGCTGCGTTGCTGGTTCCGGTTGTTCTGATTGGCGCGGTGATCCGATGGTCCATGTTGGTGGGTGTGACCGTTGGATGATGATCCTTGCTGCTGTTGTAGTTGTTGCTGCTGCTGCTGTTTCTGGTGTTGTTGTTGTTGCTGTTGCTCGGCAAATCGCTGCATGCTTCGACGTAGATGTTGAACCAATTGGTGAGGTCGATGAGTGATGGTTGTCTGATAATGCATTGCAGATTGTATCTATTCCATTCTAGTCGGCAAGGGGTAGGCAGTTTTGACAAAACTGTTTGGACATTTGTCGTAGAGTGTAGATCGTGCTGGAATCCAAGTGTCGTGAATGCATCGATCATTGTCTGTAGGAAATTGGCGAGGTCCTTGTAGCTTCTGGTATGTCGTAGATTGGGGCCGCTGATGGCGTCGAGTCGTCGAAGGAAGGATGTAACTATCTTCGTCGGGTTACCAAAGTCGTTTTCCAGTCGCTGAAGGGCTGCGTCATACATTGCTCCATTGCATCCATATCCTCGGATGAGAGATTTGGCATCTCCAGATACAAGTTTCTGCAGATGTGTCATCTTTTCCGAGTTTGTCATGTCGGTGCTGTTGATGGTTGCGTTGAACAGTCCTATCCAATCTAACCATTGTTCAGGTTCTCCGTCGGTTATGAATGGTTTGACAATGGGCACTGATTTCCTGAATGTCTTCGAGATCGTTTGATGATGGTTGTGGTCTGTCGGTGCTGTTCCAAGGTTGGTCGGAATCGGAAAATAAGTCGGCTGGTTCTGATGTGCTGCATGTTGATGTGCTGCATGTTGATGGACTGCATGTTGATGAGGGGGAGGTCTGTTGATATTTGGGTGAGTTGTTCCTGTTGGTCCCCTGCAGCCTGCATGAGTGAAGGCTGTTGTTGATGATGTCGGCATGTTCGTAGGGTTGTATGCTGTCGTGGTTCCCAGAAATCCTTCCTGGTACGATCGTATGGCAGGTTGTGTACATTGGTGAGTCAGGGTCGGCTGGCTGGAGGTCCAATTTGTTGCTGTTCGTTGATCTCCTTGGTTTGTTGGCAGTAGTGCTGGTTGTGCTGGTATCGGTACTCCGTTGATGTTTTTGATACCCTTAGCTGTCGTCTGGTGTCCGCTGAACACGTTGGTGGGGGGATGATTGGTTGAATTCTGATTTCCAATCGTCAAGATGGGTCTAAAGGCGCTATTCGGATTATGTGTCCTCTGTTGTTGGCTTGAAGGCTGGTTCTGTTGTTGGCTTGAAGGCCGGTATAGTCCATGTGGGGGGCTAGCTGTCTGGGGAGCAAGAATTGGGTGTGTGATTTTCTGTCCAATCAGTTGACTCTGAGCTGCTTTTGAAGTTGCTGTCGGAAGAAATTTTGGCGCTGAAACATTTCTTTGTCGGGTTGCTGGTGCGTTCATCTGCTGATTGAAAACTTGGATTTGATGAAGTTGAGCTTCTGAGCTTCTGAGTTCGGTCTTTGTCCCACTGTTGCTGTCAATTGCTGATTGTCGATTTGGAGTTGAGTTCTATTGTTCAATTCTATAGTCGTTCCTTGAAGTTGAGCTTCTGGGTGGTTCGGCTGAAGGTTTGAACTTTGTGACAAGTCGGCGTTCGGCTGCTGCAATGAGAGGTTTGACTGAGGATGGAGGTGAGTTCCATGGGCAGTTTGAGTTCCAAGAGTTTCTGTTTGTTGTTGATGAATGCGATGATCCAAGGTATTGGCGTCGCTGTTAGATCCGGGGCGAAGTAGGAGTCCTGAATTTTCCTGGGCGGAATTTGATCTGTGGTTTGAAGTAGCGTTTAAGATTGCTGGCAATCCAGAAAATTGTGGCAAATCGTCCGGGGTGTCCTGGTCCATGGTGACGTTTTGTGTAGTAGTACTACGGGTTAAACTTTCCGTTTGGCGTCGAAGGGGAAGATTTTTCAAGGCTTGTCGTATTATTGAAGGCGTCGAGACGTTGCTGGCTACTCGTGATGAGTTTAAAGAAGACGTGGCAGTGTTGTTAAGGGTATGCTCGTATCGTTTTGATCGTAGTTGGATCGTTCGGTACAAAACTTTCAAAGTTTTCAATCGTTCAATGATTGAGTCTTGCTGGTCCGTTCCGGTGCGTATTATCTTGACTGTTTCGTTATTGGCATCGTCAAGCAAGCTCTTCAATTCGGTTAAGAAATCGTTCATGATCTGTACTTCGTCGGAATCGCTTATGGCTTGGTTAATTGCTTTTGCTAAAATTTCTACGTCTGTTTCTATGACTTTAAAAACAGCATCATAGGTTGAATTCATTTTTAATTGACTATGTCTCCTAAACTTAATTCACGTTTTGACGTGTCAGACAAAATGTAAAATGGCCAATATGTAATTCCTTTGATTACATGGAACCCTCGTAATTGTATTGTAACAAAAAAAATGATTTTGAGTTTTTTTTCTTTGGAACTTACAATCCAAAAAAAAGGAAAAAAAGTAAACAATATGATTGGTTAGTATAAGGATGGGTTCGTTGATTTTTCAAACAAAAAAAACCTTGGTTTCTGTTTCTTTTTTAAAAAACTATTGTGGGCCAATGACAATGGCAATACGTTTTGGTTGATTAAGATTCCAATTTCAGATCGTAGTTTAGTTGTTTCTTTTTTAAATGATTTCTTTTTGATTTTTGAGTTTTGAGTCTTTCAGTTTACTAATTTGGCGGCATATTTATGTCAAAAATGTGGCAAAATTAGGTTCGGCAAAGAATAAAGTTCAAATGTCGTAGACAAGTCAAACCGTTTGACAATGAATTTTGTTTCGTTCTAATAACGTGATAGCAACTTAATCCGATTCAAAAGCCTTACCGAATTGAATTGAGGCAAGCTACTTGGTCATATTACTGTGCAAACAGATGCAAAACTTAAAACTTTTGCCATTTTGACTTTGTACACAAATACAGTTTTTTTGAGATTTTTATCAAAGTTTTAGTTAATCAATACTAATTTTTTGTGGCTGTCTAAGTTTTTGTTTCTCTATCGGCAATAATCACAAATTTGATTTTAAAATATTACATCAATTTAGCTGTTTTCTCAGAAAACTGGCACATGTAGATTGCGCTACCATAAAAATTCCACTAATTTTTTGTTCGTAAAAATGCGTAATTGGAACCAGTTCAAAATAAGTATTTTGTATATCCAGTTAAATTTTGATAACTATCCCTGTAAAAATACTTAGAACTAACCAATCATGATTCATGACTTAAACTAACAAAACTTGGTTAGACTGAAACTATTTATAGTTTCAGGCAGAGAAGAATAAATTGAGCTTAGAAAAAAGTTGCTCTTCCTCTCCTCTAACCTCGCAAGAATACCAGTATAAACTAGATCTATTGAGACTAAAAAAACATAAGTAAGATTAGGATCGTTATTAGACTAAGAAATTGCACGAATCTATCTGGCCGAAAAAAGGATAGAGTGACGAACAGACAGTGTACCTTGTCCGAAGTTACTTATGAGAAAGCCACACCGGACTTAAACTCAAAGTAGTGAATTTGATTCCTTTTGCGCTTAAGTCGACAAATGCTAATAGACAATTGCATGATAAGGATCCAATTGAAGCAAAACCTGGATACTCCGACTGCCGTCAAATTATTCTGATGTAGAAACTCGAAAAAAAATGAGGAAAAGTATTTTAACGTCTCTCGCCAAACAAAAAAAAACTTTAGTACAAAATGATGAATTTGTGTCTGTTCATGTAACATATCGTTAATACAAAAAGATATATCAGAACTAAATTGGAGAAAATCCATACTAATTTTTTTTTGCCGCTGGCACAGCGCTTTACTACGAATTTGGAAACTTTGCATTGTCCTTTTTTAAGCCCCATTTTTTTGCATGTTTTGCACTTCCACCTAAGGGTTTTTTCTCAATTAATAAAAAAAAAATTTGTCAAAAACTGCTTTTTGGAATTCTAACATGTCTAGCAAACCTCACCTAGCATGCACTTAGAGAAAACTTTAACGCATGATATAACCGGCGAAATTAATCGGCTCAAAACTCAATTCAAAATGAAATAATGAAAACTAGTTGATCTACATTTTTTGTTAAACGATTCAAAACTGAAAAATTTGTATTTGAAATTGCGTTTAGAGGGTTGACTTTTTTGATTGTCATATTTTTTTATTCGCAAAAAGCTGACTACAGGTGCATAAAAGGGCACAGGTGCATAAAAGTGCTTCTGGAATTTTCACGAGCTTGATACGAGAAAAAAAAAATTTTAAATGTGAATTTTTTTCCTTATAAAAAATTATGGAATCTGAGCAGAAGAAGTTACAAAAAATTAATATCTCTGTTTTAAGTCTTAAACGATTTTGTCTTTAGCACAGAAAGAACTTGCCAGCTGCTAGTTTTGTCGGGCAAGACGACCACGGTTTGCATAT